GACCGCCCGAAAATTTAGCTTAAAAAAAGTACACGCGATTCGAGCTTTAAGAAGCTTTAAATCGTGTGACAAAATTTGCAGCGGAAGATACCTTTTGGGCGTGGCATGGAAAAAGGTTAGAGCTAACATTCTTAAGTGTTATTGGAAGTTTTATGTTAGCGATAATAGGATCTCTCTGGCACGTCGGTTGGTCTTGATTTGACTAGGGAATTGTTTTTAGGCGATCGTGTTCGACTCTTGAATGCAAATCCCGACCTATTTATGGGAAATCAGTTGGAAAATTGAGCATTCAAAGGAGGGTTGATGCAGTTATGTTTTTGTGTTGTGTAAACTACGTTCTGTAGACGTTATTTTGCTCTTAGCATCAGCAGTAATAAAGGGACACCGTGTATGTGTTATAATTACAATTATTAACTGCAAATCTGGTGGGTTATTTACGAATAAATACAAAGTCGATTTATTTTACTTAAATTTGTATCTCAGTGTTTGTGTTTCCTTTTGGAAGTGTTTGTGAGTGCGTAATTTTTCTTTAAATTTTATTGCTGTGTAATTGTTCAATTTAGGTAAAGTGTTAAAATAGTGTATTTGCGTGTTTTATAGGTTTTATTTGGTCGGTGTGATAAGCAGTTTTATTAGTTAGGCGAAATTTAATTAACGCACGCGTTCTTTCGCTGATAAAACGAAGAATTGTGTGTCTCACCTGCAGAAGTGGGGACAATCTAATTGTGATTGACGATTTATTTGAAAATTCCTGAAGGAGTTTGTTTAATGGTGGAAGTGCTGTTTTTTTTGCGTTAAGCCTGTGCATGTAAAATGTTATTCATCGGTATTGTAAGTGTGAGTAGACGAAGCAAGTTGTTGCATAGTAATTTATGGTTCTTTTTTCACTAAATGTTAAAAGTGTTCTGCCATCCGTCATGTATCACATCAAATTCAAAAAGTCAGATTTTGTCATCAAGTTCAGTATTATCCAGCAGAAGTGAAGTTCCTGAAGCTTTTGTGCGCTTATATGTCGCAAACTTGTTACGACCAGATTGACTGGATTATTTAATAACTGGAAGTAATTAAAATTTCTTTATTTAATTATCGAACGCCTGCGTGCGGGGTATGTGTAAAAAACAGAGTCTAAAAACCTCTCTCTTTCAGCGTCTTGTGTAATGCTGTATTTTTATCTTACTTCAAACAATTACAAAGCGATAAAATGCACTTACAAACACTTCCAAAAGGTAATTTTTCCCCTCTTAAATTAAACACAAAAGTATAATTACATCAACCCCACCTTTGTATACAAAAACAAACGCTTTGCTCAATTTATTTATTTATTGGTAGTTGCATTGCTAATAATAACAGGATGAAATCTTACACAAAAAGCGTTTCTTCCACAACAGGTTTCCAATGTTTTTCTGTGGCCTAAAGAAGGGCCAGTATCGGTAAACTTCTGCAGTATTTCATGCACGTGTTGGCATTATGTATTATATTTCGGTAATCCGGCACGAACGGCCTCTTTCCGTTATTGACGCCATCCCCGTGTACCACACGAGCTTCCGAACCGAGCTCTAATGCAACATTTACTTGCGACCCAAAAACCAAGTCAACTTTTTCAATTATTTGCGTACCTACTATTAATGGTCGCTCGGCCTAAAACTTCCCCCATCCGAGCAAATCGAAGGTATTGCAGCGCGAAATTGGCCAAAGTTTTATATCAATATTGGAATTAAAACTTTTAACAGTCTTTATATTAAGTGCCAGCACGCGAAAGTAAACTTTACGATCACTTAAGTTGGCAAATGTACTAAACTTTGAACGTTCGAACTGCCAAAGTTTCACTTTTAGTTTTATATACTCACGAAAATGAAACTTCGCAAGATACAAGCGATATTACTCGATCCGATCGAAATCCCTCACAGAACAGGGGGAGGTGATACGAAATTTATATTCCCAGTTACCTACTTTGGATAAACAAAACGGGCAAGGTTGAGAAAATGACACGTATCATGTTAACCAAGTTAGAGGGGTGAAAGTAATTATAAGTTTCTGGACTTCAATAACGTCCCCCTTTAGTATGTAGATTCCGCCTTCGCTCGTAAAGAAATTGGGGGGTTTAATAATGTCTCTCGTGTAAGCAGTCATGTATATTAAGGTTAAAATCTCCGTAATCATTTAAATAACCCCCAGTCCGTTATTTGGTATACAAAGCGATTAAGGGATAGTTTCACTAACATTACCCTTTACGAGATATTAATTTCCTCTTCTCTGTCGTGCAATTTTACTTTTCTCTGCAAGCTTTGATAAGTCTAGAAAAAAGCTCTTTGCCCGCTGATAAAAGTGCGAGGGCTTTTTAGTGTAATTTCAGCTTTCTTTAACAAACCGAGTATCCGAAGGCATAAATCATGCGGTGATTTGAATCGTAATTGATTTGACATGTTCTACAATAAATTCAACACGAGAAACGTTGCATTTTGAGTTGTATCGATCGTGTTCAAAAATCCTACCAACCCGAACTGTACAATTTAAATTGCGTTCCTTAGACGACAATGCAAATAGAATAACAAGCATTTTATTTTGTCACATAAAACAGCTAAAAGGTATCTTCCCCAGTCGTAGCAAATTTACATGCAAACTTGGAAAATCGAGTGAACTCGCAATATTCTCTCAGTTTATTACGAAAATGAAATTTATCCGAAAGCGGTGTATTAGCAACGATTAAAGTACTTCAAAGTTTAATTATCGCATTATTCTTAACTTGGTTTTGTATTCGTCGCGATCGTTTCGTGAAATATGTGGGAGGCGAAGCGATTTAATTAAACATACGTAAATATGTTTCGTCGATTCGTTCGATTTAAAGGTGGGGAATTTGATATTTTTACGGCACTCGAAGTTTTGAATAAGTTTTCTTCGAGGTAGAAGTTTAAGATATGCGTTTGAAAAGCCATTGACGGCGGAGGGCTTTTTAATTTGTTTTTGGGGCTGCGCTTTTTTGTATACATGGGCCTTTCTTTGCTTTGATTATAAATATTATGCGGATTCTTTGTTATAATTATGCCAATTCGGCACTTTTAGTACTGATTTCTCTTCAACACCCCACATGCACTTGATGTTGCGTTCGATGGTGTCTTTTCAATAATTATGGCGTACGTACTAAGGGCACTAAACGTTTAGGGGAGGAATCTGTGCGTCTCGGAGATATGTTCGACTATCCCTTTCTTTTCCCTGCAATAGATATTCATATAAATATAAGGAGAGGTGCATGAAGTTAGCACGTCCACCCCTTTTTGAGGTACAGCCGAACAGGGTACCCGTTTTCCGTGCCAACTTCACACACAAATGATTCTTTTTGCATTTTATTGTGAAAAGTGTCCATTTTAACATATTCAAGATTCCGGGCAAGGAAATCAGTAAGAATTCAAGATGGCGGTTTAATCAAGAATTTTTAATTAAAAAATTTGTAACTTGAACATCTAACTTGGGTACAAATTAGTCTTTAATTTATAGTTTTTTATGCAACTAATAAAATTTCAATCGGGAAAGGTGGGGGTGCAAGCTTGATTTCAAATTAGCACCCCCCATTCTAAAAATCGGTTTTCCAGCGGAACTAGGCGGGTACAGATTCTAATTTGGTGGGTACACATTAGTCTTTAATTAGTCCTAAATTATAGGCATATTTTTACTTCACTTAGGTAAAGTGGGGGTACTAACTTTATCGTTTCAAGTCTGATCCAAAAAGTACGAATTGTTTTGGATTCTACGCACCAAAATTAATAAGAAAAAGTGTTTTCCCGAGAAATTTTGGTGCAGTCGATTTTTGGTAAAAAAGGAAGGTTAATAACTGCCCTTTTTTGAGCCCCGAAAAAAAAATTGTCTCAGATCGACCCGGAAAAAAATTTCTTATAGAATGTGGCCTGTAGAATCCATAATTTCAAACAGTTCCAAGATTGGGCTACTAGTTCAAAAGTTACAGCCCTTTGAATTTTCTTTCGAAATTGGTTTCTAGTCTATAACTTTTGATTGAGAAGTCTGATCGAAAAAGTACGAATTGTTTTGGATTCTACGCACCAAAATTAATAAGAAAAAGTGTTTTCCCGAGAAATTTTGGTGCAGTCGATTTTTGGTAAAAAAGGAAGGTTAATAACTGCCCTTTTTTGAGCCCCGAAGAAGAAATTGTCTCAGATCGACCCGGAAAAAAATGTTCTTATAGAATGTGGCCTGTAGAATCCATAACTTCAAACAGTTCCAAGATTGGGCTACTAGTTCAAAAGTTACAGCTCTTTGAATTTTCTTTCGAAATTGGTTTCTAGTCCATAACTTTTGATTGAGAAGTCTGATCGAAAAAGTACGAATTGTTTTGGATTCTACCCACCAAAATTAATAAGAAAAAGTGTTTTCCCGAGAAATTTTGGTGCAGTCGATTTTTGGTAAAAAAGGAAGGTTATACTCTGCCTTTTTTTGAGCCCCGAAGAAAAAATTGTCTCAGATCGACCCGGAAAAAAAATGTTCTTATTAATCAAATTAAATTCGCTACACGCGACTTGTTGCAATCTCCAATAACTAAAATTTTTCCGCGTTTCCCATTACGCCGAATTTGGAAAATGGCCAATCTCCCTTAAACGGCACCCAGACAATTCTCAATCTGTTTTCTGCAAACCAACCAAATGGATGTCCCGATCTTTAACCAATTTCACATTACGCAACAACTTTCAAGTGCCAACCAGAATCGCAAAATCGCCGTCTTCTACATCTACAAGGTCTCGCATCATTAAGGATCATGAGATCTTCCGAGAGTATTCCGTACTCCACATTCTCCTGGTGTTACGTTGTGATAAATTAACGTATGTTATTTTTCGTTAACAAATTCGAAGGTAAAACTAGATTTATTGCTTAGGTTTCTATATAGTTGAGCTTCAATTTCCAAGTGTAAGTTAAATTACTGGTAACTTTTTCATTTGAAACTTGTGATGGAGTAACAAAATTCGGCTGTTTTTAACAAATATATTTCATTGCAGGCAAATACCGCATCTGGTGTGACTGCTACTCTCCTAATCTGAAAAGGTAAGCTGCGTTAAATTAAGCGGCAGTTTGGTACCATCAGTACCACCTTTTAGCATTGCCCAATCCGATGTTACGCCCTTATTTAGTTTCTTAAAGCTACCAAATTTTTTCAAATATGTGGGTGGGTTATAGGAGGAACAAAGAAATTAATTTTTCTGACTGATCTTTGCACCGATTGGGTAAATCTAAATGTGACCTCCTTATCTAGAACGCACTGTATATCGTTGAAAGATAAAGCGCTTATATGACCAAGGGATACAATAAGGGATTTGATATATACATATGAGTGTAAATAGTGGGAAATGAGCATTCGTTAGGCGATTGCACGCGGTGTCGCTTCAATTGAGGTATACCTGTTCATCTTCACGTAACGCTGCTAAAATTTTATTCGATGTTGGCGGTTCATTTCTCTCAAAAAAGTAATGGATCAAACGTCTAAGCACACTTTTAGTTCCAACATCGATGTTGTCCAAAATTGCCCTCGGTCTGTGAGATATTTCAGGTGCGTGAAGTTCGTGGGTCGTTTTATATTCTCGAAGAACCTTGTAAACACTCGCAGCACTCACACCTAAGGTAAGATGTATAAATAAATCTACAAAAACGAAAAATACCTGCTGCATTTGCGGTAAACTCTACATTTTCTGTTGTGGACTTTTCTGGGTTGGCTTGAGATTTGAGAATAAGCTTTGAAGATATTTAAAATGCTCGTTCTTCAAAAGAGAAGTGCTTTTTCCGGTGGAAAAAAGCAGCCTCTAATCCTTGCACAGGCCACAGATGAGTCTTTACAAAGACCATTTTTTTCGTATAAATAAGATCTGTTCAGCGAACAGATAATACGAGTAGAAGCAAATTTCACCAGACTTACCTGAGGGTAACAATAAAACTCGGACCCTCTCCTATTTTCAGTGAGCGTTTGGCAAGTTTTATGAAAATTGCCCTAGGTGAATAGACATCATATGGCTCGTCTCTCAAATATTTACACAAAAGGGGTAACAATCACGGACACAGAGTAACTAAAAGCAAATATTTAATATCTAACCTAATAATGTTGGGATCCATGTCCGCTGGGATTTCCTCCTGTCAGAACTAAAAAACCAACTATAATCTCGGGCCACCATTCCCAATACCCGCAGCATTCAATCTGGGTTATCAAAATATATGACTCGTTACACTTACACGAAAGTGAAAGATAGGTACGCCAATGGGATTACACAACCGAATAGGTAGCAGATAAAAATTTAAATGTACATAAATATTCCGTGGTATGTGTGTGGCTCCTCGCTCTTTGTAATTTTAGGGTCCATAAATTGGAAATACAAAGCAAGCTTCAAATTTTATTAATCAAACAGAAATGTAACTTCGACGGAATCTGGTTAGTGATCTTTTTTTCCACGCACTGGATACAGTAAAAAGTTAATTTTCATAGGGGGAGTCGCGATAACATCGCGATTTTGAATAAAATTACCATGTTTACTAATTTTACATTTTTTATTCATTAACCCGACGCGTCAGCTTGAGGTGAGAAACTTTGATCACCTATTGTTATTGAAGCTTTTAGAGAAGAGACTTGCAAAAATTATTTTTCTCATTGCCCACTCTATTTTAAGTTCGCTTCTCATCTCTGTATACATTTAACGGTTTTTCGTCTACGCTACATCCTGTAAGTATCGCTTTTTATACTTCGTTTTTTATTCATCTTAGAATCTATCACAGAAAAAACTCACTTTATGCATTTTACAAATGTTCATGTTGACTCACGAATGGCATTTGAATTTGTAATATCTAATTTTAAGCCGGTCTACCTTTGTCCTTATTTGTCATCGTTTTGCAATTTATTCCGAGTTTGACAATTGATCAATGCCAAATGCAGCGATAAAATTACAGTGGAGTAAAATATTTGTCGAATAATAAAGGTTCAGAGCGAGGAGAAATTTCATTTTCAGTAGCTCTCCGGTCTCCACGTTCGTACAAAATTACTCGTATTTCCTCTTCCGGGCATATTTTTATTTGAACTAAATCACAAGTCATCCTGTTTAACGTGGTTGTTTATTTGTCGCGCTACGAAGATATATACTGGTGCGGTTTGAGAAAATGTCTCGGAAAATCTCATGCGGTATCCTTCATTTTCAAGCTACATTCTATTGTGACAAAATGTTTACAGGAATACGAAGACGGCTATTAATTTCAAAGACGCGTTTTGAGCAGACTTCTAAGCGGATTTATAAAAAAACGGTTTCAATTAGATTGTACTAGTACTAGTATTAGTTACTTTACTGCAAAGGCAAAATTCCCTCCCTTCTATTCCTCTTCTATGTATTTTCTAGCTAAATTCTAAACTTTGGTTTTCCTGTTGAAATTCAATGCTAAAGATCACTAGTTCCTTAAAAAATGTTATTTCAGAAATGTGACTTCATAGACTAAAAAAAATTAGTCCATGGTGACTTGGAATATTTTAAAGAATGTTTGCAAAAAGACTTCTCAGGGTTCTAAAACTTAAAGAAGACCAAGACCATTTTGTAACGTTCCTTAGAAAATGTCACCGGAGGCTTTAAAAAAAAGTTTCTAAAAAGATCCTTGATGTTTCTTGATTCTCTATATAAGATTTTTAGAATATTTCCCAAGGTGAAGTTTCTTAAAATCCTTTTAAGATGTAAAATTCTAGGGATTCTTTGTACGTTGTAAAAAAATTACAGGGAAACTTGTGTAAAGAATCTCTAGGGCAGTTTGGAAATCTTTGGGAATTTTCTTAAGGACGATGCTAAGATTTCTTATAAGATTTGTTGGAATAGAACTACTAACAAACGTGTCAAGGAGATTTTTCAATTGCCGAAAATTTATTTCAAAGTTTTTAAAATAATATTCTTAATTAGTCCAGTCAAATAAGAAAAAATAAAAACATTAATCGGTAAAGATCTGAATTTTGGTACACATGTTTATTAGTGTTCCCCATTGGACATACTAAAAGTCCCCGTCAAAATCTGTTGCGCTCGAGGCACCATCTTGTGAAAAAAGGAGCACTTGGCCCATATATCGGCAACAATATTATTGATACGGAAAAATTTGAATTTTCTTTCGAAATTGGTTTCTAGTCTATAACTTTTGATTGAGAAGTCTAATCGAAAAAGTACGAATTGTTTTGGATTCTACGCCCCAAAATTAATAAGAAAAAGTGTTTTCCCGAGAAATTTTGGTGTAGTCGATTTTTGGTAAAAAAGGAAGGTTATACACTGCCTTTTTTTGAGCCCCGAAAAAAAAATTGTCTCAGATCGACCCGGAAAAAACATTTTCTTATAGAATGTGGCCTGTAGAATCCATAATTTCAAATAGTTCCAAGTTTGGGCTACTAGATCAAAAGTTACACGCCTTGAATTTTCTTTCGAAATATGGTTTCTTGTCTATAACTTTTGATTGAGAAGTCTGATCGAAAAAGTACGAATTGATTTGGATTCTACGCACCCAAATTAATAAGAAAAAGTGTTTTCCCGAGAAATTTTGGTGTATTCGATTTTTGGTAAAAAAGAAAGGTTATATACTGCTTTTTTTTGAGCCCCGAAAAAAAAATTGACTCAGATCGTATCATGAAACATTATGTCATTACTAGAATGCTTTATCGAAAGACGATTCTGTTCATTTTTTGGTGCTTTTACAGCTTTCGGTGTAGTCGTAAAAAAGACGGTCTCCTTCCTATAACTACGATACGGGGCCTAAACGCGTTCTGACGCATTCAACGTGAGATTACAGCTAAAGTATTGGAGATACAAAAAAATGTAAATACTCTTTTTTATAGGGAATTTAGTAAACTATATTTTTCATGTAAACTATTTCTTCGTATCAGTAATAGTTGCCGAGACATGGGCAAAAAACTGGAAAAGTGTACCGTTTTTCCAAGATGGCGTCTCGAGATTTTGACAGGGACTTTTAGTACGTTCACTAGAAAGTCCCAATAAATGTGTATACCAAAATTCAGATCTTTACCGATTAATGTTTTTATTTGTCCAAAATTGCGCTAATTTGACTGGACTAAATTAGATTTGGAATCTTCCATGAGCGATTATTAAGAAGGTTTTGGGAAAAGCTGTTAAGAGCTACAGATCTAAAGTTTTGTAGAGGAAGAGTTTACTGAACACATTTCTAAACACAATTTTACGAATACTTAAAATGCGTAAAGGTTCTTAAGGAGATTTCGAATATTCGGATTTAGAACTCGGAAATTGTGAGGTTCAGATCGAATTTAAATTTTTCATAGCCGTAAATCGAAAAACTTACAGTTCATAATTTCTGTCTTGGAAGTTAAATTTACTGTAATGAATTGTTGTAGAAAAGTGCAATATTGAGGCGGATTTCCCTAATGGCATAATTCTTCTTGCATTATATAGCGTAGATTTTAAATGTGTGTCAGACAACCTTTAAATGTTTATGTGTAAGGAGCCCCCTCCCCGTTAATCATCTATTAAGAAAGTAAACATCCATAAATATACCATGGTAGTACTTTATGACCTACCTATTTACTAAGCTGATTCTGTTTCTACATAAGGGTTGCGCGCATTTTATATACTTGTTAAACTCATTTCGGGTAAAACACAGAACCGGGGGGTTGGAGGGGATATTGAATACCCCCTCCCCCCGTATAGGAAAATCCCGTGATTTTTTTGCAATCATCATGAATTCAGTCGTATACTCATACGAATGAAATACGTACAGCGGGGGGTATTATGGGAAAATAGGAAAATTCCCTAATACTAGTGCTACTTTCCCCTACAGTACGTTAACCCCTGAGGGCTACAGTGATATTTCAAAAAAGTACCATTCTTTTTAGCACATTTTTGCAAATTTATTTGTAAAAAGGTAGCTTTTAATTTCACTTTGGCCGACTGGCTGTATGCAGCAAATGCGGGCCTGTAAAAGAAGACTTGTAGAATGACGAGCGAGAAGTGTACAGGGTGGTTCAAATTCCTGGCTCACCTTTGGGATCTCCGTAACGGTGAGAGATAAATTATGTG